ATATATATATATATATATATATATATATATATACATACATATATATATATATATATATATATATATATATATATATATATATATATATATATATATACATATATGTATACACGTATATGTGTGTGTGCGTCTGTATAATCTATCACCTATAACCTATAAGTAAAACAGGCCGGATAGAAATAATGGAATGGACGTGGGAACCGCCACAGCCCGGCGCCCTCCGCCCCCCCTCCCTCTACCGGGCCAAAGTCCATACGTGGATCCTTCACTAACCAGTTGCCGTAGTAGATGAACTTGGTGGGCTCGGTGCTGGTGAAGAACGTCACCTTCGCGCCGTATTTGCCGAGCTCCGGCGTCCTTTTCTTCACCACAAGAGGCGTCCTCATCCTCACCCCGGTTTGTTTTTCCTCTTCGCCTTCCTCCTGTTCCCTCTTCTTCTTCTCCTCCTCCTCCTCCTCCTGCATGATCTTGCTCGCCACCTCCGTCAGGTTGCCCACCTTCCCCTCCGGCATCATCACGTCCGTCACCGAGCTCGAGTTGAGGAGGAGGAGTGTCCCTCGGAGGCCGCCCTGCAGCACACGGGTCGTCAGTACAGCAAAAACGCCCAGAATGAACAAGAGCAGAAATGCTGATGATTCACTATTATGATCATAATTCTTTTCACGAGAATGTTAATGATAATGACAGCAATGAAAATGTTATCTGTGAAAACATGGTGGTAATGATAGTAATAAAGTGTTAATTTCTTTTTGGTTTGCTAACGATCCGGTAGCTAATTTCAAGTAGGAAACGTGTTTATAAAAGAGCAACATCTATGATTACACTTTTGGAATAAGAAAAATATGGTATCGTTGCTGCAATATTAAAAAGTGATAATGATGATTATGATGTGATGGTGTGTTATTTTTGATGAAATTTCTTATTAATATTATAATTATCATTACCATACATTATATTATCACCATATTCCATTGCAATTACTTTCATAATGATAAGTAAAAAATATGTTTAAAGTTACATCCACATCCGCAAAAATACTAATTGCAACAATGATGAAATAGCAATAACAATAATACAGCGCTATGAAATCCCAGACGAACTTTCACTTGGTGTAACCGTAGTTCACGCGTAAACTCCAGTCCAGCAAAGGTGTCTGGTGAAGGGAACAATTATGAAGTGAAATTTCATCTTATTTTACTCCCTTTTTCTTTTCTTTCATTCGCTTTTTATTAATCCCCGAGCTTACTTGCTTTCATTTCATTGCTCGTATGCTTAGTTCATCGTCGTTTCATTGTTTGTTTACTTAAGTACAGACTGATTTTCCTACAAAATTTTACATGGTTATGATTTTGCTATTTTCAGAATTTCTCTACTAATAATGAACTTGCAGCCGACTTTCTTGCAACGATGTTTGCAAGCGTGGCAAGACAGTTTTGGTTATGATAAACTGCACTGAGAAAGCTCTGCCTGTAACTGACAGCGGCGTCATTAGACCTTTCATGGATGAGTTTGGGTTATCATTACAGTAACAGTCACGATGCAGTGATTTTAGAGATGACGATGTTAATAAATTTTAATTTTAGAAAGATTACCAATAATGATAACATTAGTAGACAACAGTAATGACAACGATAATAAAAATAATGGTCATTATTACGATGAATGTAATGGTATGATAATATTCATGATAATGAACGGAAGCAAAAACAATAATGATTATCATAGTGGTAACGACTATGAAAAATGTTTAGAGCTGTAATGACAATGGTAATAATAGTATTATAATGATGATATCACTATATGATAATAACAGTGATATAACTGACAGCTGAAGAGTGATTATCAAAATCATGAGGATTTTCATGAAAGGAATCGCAAACAATCACGTAGATAGCAGCAGCACTGCCAGCGCCAACAAAACAAGAATGAGCAGCCGCAGCGTGGCGTGCCTCCGGAAGCGCGAAGAGCCAGACCTTGAGCGTGTAATCGATGAGATCCTCGTAGTGATCCTCCTCGGTGCTCGTGTCCACCTCGTTCCCCTCTCCTGCCTCCTGGTCCTTCTTCTTCTTGCTTTTCTTGTGCTTCTCCCTCATCATTCCCATCTCAGGGTTGAAGAAGCTCGGCCATCCGAAGTTGATCTTGTGGTCCACCATCGTCTTGGGCGCCGCGTCAGCTGTGCGGGAGGAGAGCGAGGGTGAGGGAGGCAGAAAGAGGAAGGGAGGGAGAAAGAGAGAGAGAGAAGAGACAGAGGTGGGGGGCGGCTGGAGAGGGAAGGAGATGAAGAAAACCAGAAAAGAGATGAATTGAAACAAGGAAGGTAGTAGAGGAATAAAGAGTCAGTATTATTTACTAAAGGCAAGGGGTGAAGAAAAGAGAGGGAGCTACAGAAATGGGAATGCAAGTAAAGAGAATGAAAGTAGTTGAAAAAAAAGGTTGAATGTTAAAAGAGAGGAGAGTCATGCAAACAAAACCTATACATGTTTATACATTTACGCAGTGT